ACTTTTAATTTTAATTATTTCAAAAATTTTATCAAAATCTGATCATTAAGATTGGCGTATATTCTTTACAGTAAAATTAAAATTTGACTAAATCAATATTCTATTCTACTTAAACACTCAAAAATATATTCAAAACATTTTTAAATTTTCTTTGAGAATCATTTGTTTCTTTTACCAAAGTGGCAAAAGTAAAAATTGTTGAAATTTTGATTTTTTTAAAAAAATTCACTAATATTATTGAAATATTGAGCAAAATAATTTATCGCTTAAAGTGCTATTTGCATTATTATTATTTTTTTCTTTCTTAAATATTAGCAAATTTATCCAAATAAGTAAAATAACTCTTTAAATATTATACAGTCATATTTAACATTCATTTATTTTAATAATCAATAAGTGTGAAATAACTTTTTGTACAATTATAATTCTCAGAACACTCTTTGCCGCATACTTCGATCAGCAAAAAAAATTTAGCATTTTAAAGTATCACACAAATTAATCACTTAGTATTTCTGACATTTCAATTAAATTTTTTGTCAAAATTTGATGAAAATTATTATCGGTAAAGTAGCGCTAATCACATTAGCGTTAATCAGCTAAAGAATAAAACTTCATTTTCCTTCCTCTCATCAAATTTAAAATTCATTAAAATTTAGTAGCATATTATTAAAACTATTATGAATTAAAATTAACAATTAATAATAATGTGCACGCATCATTTCATCACATTTAGCATTTATTATTTGTTGCTAACATTGCTTACTTTTATTACTTAACTTTAATTACTTTATAATACAATTTTATTGCCTACTCATCAGTATGATCTATTTTATCAACCATTACTTATGTCTATAACATGTGCTAAAGATCATTTGAAACGTTTACATTACGAGAAGAGAAATATGAGTACACGTATATCACAAGAAGTTAATAGCGAGTTAAAACTATTTGGTATATATTTGTAATTTTATTCAGTATGGTCAGAATATATCAGAAATTGATAATCTAAATTCTCAAAAATATGTAATAAAAATTTAGTTATTCTCATCGTGCAAAATTTGTTCCAATATATGAATAAATTAATTAGTAATTAGTAACATTTAAAATAGTAAAATTGGTGAGATAATACATTTTTTTCAACAAAATATATTTTAATCTATAATTTTAATTAAAAAGTGCACAAGAAATTACTTGCCATAACTTTTTATCCTATAATTTGTTTCACTTTAAAAATAAAACTTTTTTAAAAATTAAATGTTAATTTTAGAAAATTTTTAAATTTCAGGAACAGCGTCGAAATAATCTCATTTTTATCATTAAAACAATAATAATGATGGTAATTATAATAATAACAATAATAATATATGAAAAATAATAGTAATGATAACAGTAATAACAATCAATGAGAATAATAACAACAATAGTGACACTGTCAACAATAACAATAACAACAAAGACAACAACAACAATGATTTCAAATTTGGTTATTTCATCCTTCTAAATTATATAGCCTAAAAAAAATATTTAATTTCATTATTTCAATCATTGCAATATTTGATCTCAATTATTTCTTACTAATTTATGGTATTGAAATGTTTAAAATATATGAATAAACATTATTAATAGTTTATCATTTAACAAGACCTAAAATGAGTAAATTATAAAATGAAACAAAATACAAATTATCAAAATTTTAGTTAATTAAAGCGAATAAAAAAAATAATGAAATCTCAAATTATGTATGATTTTTTCTGCTTATTCATATAGTTTTTGAAATATTAAAATATTGGATTGAATATATAATTTTTTGAACTGCAATTAGCTTCCTGAATATTATTTGTTTACAATATTTATGATTTTGAATTGTCAAAATGAAAAACCGAATTGTTGCAGATAGATTTTTACTAAGTTAAAGATTATTATTAATTTCTTTGCTGCTAACTATTTGATATTTATTAAAAAAATTGTTGTAAAAAATAAAAATAAAAAAATGACAAAAAATTTCAAAAATTTTTGCAATTTGATTGTATCTGCAAGCAAATTTTGCAGTTATTTTTCAAAATTGGACCAATCTATTTCAATTGTAGCATTTTAATTGTTTTTCATTTTTTTTTAAAAAAAAAACAAAAAATCGTAAAACAATTTGTCAATTTAAAATTAAATTGATGGTTTGCATAAAATACCATGAAAATTAAACATTGAAAAATGGCAATTGAAAAAATCTCATCAACTAATCATAGTCAAATATTGCTATTATTACTATATGTTATCTATTATTATTTTTATTGTTTTATTATAAAATTATTATTACAAGTTTTGATGGATAAGGGGAGAGAGAAGCAGAGACAGAGAGAAAATAGATAACTGAAATTGAAAAGAAGGAATAGAAAGGAAATTTGGCGAAGCAGAAGTCAAAGTTTTAATTAGTGAATGATAATTCAACGAATTTAGAATTTGTTGGTGCTTTAAATGTATTATTTGGTTTTATAATAATTAAAGAGAAATTCCAACATCGATATTTTTTCACTTTTTTTAAAAGTTAAATTTTATTTTGCAAATTATATGTCATTCGCACTTTTTTTTTGACAATTTCTCTCATATCATTTTAATTATGAAAAATGATAAAAATTTTGTTCTAAATTTGAAGTCTTTTAATTAAAATTTTTTAAAGCAATAAAGTCAGTTTACTTTGTTAATAATTTTATAGAAATTCGATCATAGCATACTACTAACTCATATTTTTCACGAAAATATACAAATTTTTATTGCATTTGTATTATTATATCAGTTCATAAATGAATTTAATTAATATCACTGTGTTATTCATGCAATGAATACTTTATTTCTGACAGTTTTTGATTATTTTTCAAATTTAACAAAAAGTTTTTTTTTTTTCAATCTCAGGAATTTTCCAATTGTTAAATTTCTGACGATCGTTTTTCTTTTTTTGATGATTATTTTTCGTTTTCGAATCTATTAAACATACCAATCCCAATTTTCAATAAGTAGTAATGATGAAGCATATTATGTCTGTATTGATTTTTTCTTTTTGTTTTGTTTTGCTTTCTTTTATTAAATCCAATAATTTTAAAACTATTTTATTAGTACAATTCAATTCTTTTCAAAGTTTTCTTAGTTCATTTATATATTAATAATATTTACTGTGTGCTGCATTGAATTTAAGTTAAAAATATTTTCCAAACAAAGAAATAAGGACTAAAAGACAAACTGGTCGCTTTTTTTTATTATTCAGTTTCATATTAGAATTTAATTCACATCCATAGATGCTTAATACGTTTATTATAATTAAATTCATTTCTTAAATACCTAAAATATTAAATATAAATTATACAAATTAAATATGATTTATAAAATATATAACAAAGTATATTAAATATAACAAAAGGAATGTAACTCACTTTCATTTCAAATTCATTAATTTATTTAATCATATTAATTGTTAATTAGTACGTTTTAATTGATTATTTTTAAATAACATTTAAAAAATTTTTTGTAGGCATATGTTCAAACACAACTTACAAATCATAAAATTGAGTTCACATTGATTTTAAATTTATTAATTTAGTTGTATTAATTAGTGTAAACATATTTTAAACTGATTCATATTTTAATTATTTTTTTAGAATATTTTTGCAAGCATATGTTTAAATCTAATTTACAAATTACAAAATTTAGTACAATTTGTTTTTAATTTGATTAATTTAATTAACAACACTAATTAATAATCAGTACCTGTTTATGACAGTTTGATTCATTTCTTAAATACTACTTCAAATATTTTAAAAGCTAACATATTTTGCTAATACTTCTTGCTTCTTGGCTTTGAGCAGTTCATTCGCTTTACCAAATGACTTACAAATATTAAAATTATTTTTGTAAAAAAAAAGTCATTTCCTTTATTTCTTTCTTCCTTCACTTTTCATCCATTACACCACAATCATTGAAGTATTATTTCATTCTCTTTCGTCTCTCTTTCGTCATCAATCTTTTTCAGCGTTAGTTTTAAAACAAAACACATAAATAAAAAAAAAAGACGAAGCCTTTTGCTACTTTCAATAATCCTTCGCTTTGCTCATTCAGCAAAACTTTTCTTTTCATGTCAAATTGACCATTACTGATAATTTTACCGATAATTTTCAAATTTAAATTCATTAATTTAATTAATTGCATTAATTGGTGAATAATAAATAATTTAATATATTTATAATTTAGTATTTTCTTCTGATTTATAAATGCTTATATTTAATCATTTAAATAATTTCTAGTTTATGAATTGATAATAAAAGAATTTATGGTATAATAATTATCTATAATAATAATAATAATAAAAGAATTTATGGTTTAATAATTTATGGTATAATAAAGGTATAATAATTATTTATAAAATAATTAGTGAATCAGTAATCTACAAATTTAGGAACTATTTCCAAATAAATTTATGATTTAATTCTTTTTATAATTTATGGATTGTTTATAAAATAATTGATGACTTAATATTCTATAATTTATGAACTGATTACAAAGTAATTTACGACATACGAATTAATATTTTATGAACTAATTATAAAAGTTTTATAATTGAGATGTTAATTGTTATTTTATAATTTAATTTTCAAATTATTATTATTTGTAGTATCTTTAAATATAGTTTGTCATTAACTTTTAATTACAATTAATTTGCAGAAAAAAGAAAAAAAAAAAACAAAAAAAACGTTATCTATATTTTTTTGTTGAAATATACAAAAAAGATAAAAAATTACTTAACGTTTTTCATCATTATTGCTGCATTAATTTGTTTATTAAACTGAACGAAAAAAAAAATTTATTTTTTAGCATTTCCAGAAAAAATATCACAAAGTCAATGATTCTTTATGGCAATTCACAAAACTATTCAACAAATTTCCCAGTCAGTAATCGGAAAGGGTGAAGCAATCCGGTAGGCAAAGAAATAAAATTCATACACGTGGCGGTGATGTGGCATGAAACGTCAAAATATTCGTACGCTATCGCTGATTGTTTGTACATTAACTTATTTAGTTATTGGTGCTGCTGTTTTTGATGCATTGGAATCTGATCACGAAATGCAGCAGGTAAATTAATTTGTGTAAATTTTATGACACATGATTTTACCTATTTATCATTGCAAACAAAAAAAAAGAATTCAATTGATTGTTTACCATTAGCATGCAATTATAATTTTACTTATGTTAGCCAATATATAATTACTTAGGAATGGAATTTAAAATTTGGAACACATTTTAATCAATTTTTCTTTTTCTAAAATTGACGATTGAAATTGATCATTTTTTTGGGAAAAAACCTAAATTTATTATAAACATTTTGTTTATAATTTTTTAAAGATATAATCAAATTGATTGCTATATTGCGTTATCAGTATTATCAATTATTGTCATCATTATGCACTTATTATTAACATTACAATAACAAATATTACTAATGATGCTATTATTATTCGCATTATTATTGCTCCTGCTATTATATTGTATAATTTTTATTCCCACTGTTATTATAGATCATTTTTATTATTATTATATTAATTGCACTATTATTGATTTGTACTATTTTTTATTTTTTTTAAATACAGGAAATTTAAATTTTCTTTAGTTGAACAAAAAGAAAAATGCATCACTGCTTTGAATTTAATCATTGATCAGGAATGATAACTAATGGAATAAACTTACAAATAATTCCAATGTCACATAAATTTAATGAAATCACGAAATATTTACAGAGAGCATTGGTATCAAAAGTGAGAAAAAGTTTAATTGATAAGTACAATATTAGTAGCACAGATTATCGAGTACTGGAATCAATTATTATCAGATCATTACCTCATCGTGCTGGTCATCAATGGAAATTTGGTGGTGCATTCTATTTTGCTACCACTGTTATCACTACTATTGGTAATTAATTAATCAATTATTATTAAATCATTTGCAAAAATTTCTGTCCTTTTTTTACTTATTTTATTTTTATGATTATAATAGAATGTTCGTTCTTTTTTTGTTTTGTTAGAAAAAATATGAATAATATATACTAAAAACAACAATTTTTAATTTAATTACTTCAATTCTTTCAATTTTTCTCTTGCTCTAATTCCTTTTTAGTGTTAATTTGCTATGATAGACAGATTGTTGTATTGAGCTGATCGCTTGAATGAAAAAATAATTTAAGATTCGATGAAGGAATAATTTTAATTTAATAGCTTAGTTGATTAAAATGGATAGAAAAGGGAGGAAAAATGGGAATAATGAGTAAAATTTCAATTTTTAATTTAAATCTAATTTACATTTCACATGCAAATTACGAAATGATTATACAATGTTAACAAATGGTATTAAATATTTAAATTTGTATTTTAATCTTATTGCTTATAATTCGTTATCAAAAGTGAATTAAAATAATATTTATAAATGTTAAAACAAAATATTTCGCAAAGCAAAAAATTGATTAATTGCTCGTTGTATTCATCCATTAACTTTCCTTTCTGTGTCTCTTTCTTAATTTCAAATAAATTTTGTCAATTTTGGCAAAATTATCTAATTGTTTGGTAATTGATAATATAAACCAAACAATTAATAATCATTTTCTCAAGTTAAAATTTTTATTTTTTTTAAAAAAATGCTTTTGTAGCTCTTTATTTTTAACCCATTTTTTCATTTTCCTTTGTAATAATTTCATTTTATTAAGGCTTTTTCAGTTATTTCTCCAGCTATTTAAATATTACATATTTTTGCTATAAGTATTTGAAATCAAAATTATTTCAATCTCATTATCTTTTCTATCGCTAAACTAAACATATGCAAAAATTATTGATAACAAGGAGGAAATATAAACTAAATTTTACAAAAAATATGAGTTAATTAAACATTAATTTAATAATTTCAATTATAATTTTAGGTTATGGACACAGTACTCCGTCAACAATTGGTGGTAAAACATTTTGTATGTTTTATGCGCTTGCTGGTATTCCACTGGGACTTGTCATGTTTCAAAGTATCGGTGAAAGGTATCAAATTTTTTAAATCAATTTGTAAAATTTACAAATTTGTTAAAAAAGGTCCTTTTTGCTTTTTTTTTTTATGTGGAACTTGAAAACAGAAAGGGTAAATATTGAAAAAATTTTTTAGATTAAATGAATAACGTAAAACGAATTAAAATTTGAAATAAATTTAAATCATAAAAATTTATTCATTGCAAAAATTGGAGTTTGGTTTTCTTTTTTTGCTTTCGAACAAATTACAAAGTTAAAATGAATGAGCAGATTTATAAATGAATTAGAAATTAGTTGAAATTGTGACTGAAAGCAATGATAAAATAAGACTGAGAGAGAGAGAGAGAGAAAAAGGGTAAAAAGGAGAGAGAAGAAGAAAAGTATCGATGAATTTATTATTTCATTAAAATTTTTTTAAAAAATTTTTTAAAAATTATTTTAATTTTTTGTATCCCAAAAAAATTTCCAGATCTGAACTTTTTCTTTGATTTGTTTCTATTTCTTCATGTATAATACAAAATTCTTACATTTTTAATTTAATTATCAAAATTTATTTCTTAAAATTTTTTTTTATTTATATATATGCAAAATCTAGGCTATACAAATCGCTTTACTCATTTCTTTGGAAAAAATCAAATGAAAACATAGAGCAGAATATTATAATTTATCTCATTCGATTTTCTTTGAGTATTATCAATTAATTAATTTAAATTTATGCTTAATTTAAGCAATAGTAATTGTTCTTAAAATAGCTTAATTTGAAATGAAACAAGATTTCAGGATTAATACGTTTGCAGCAATCCTTCTACGTTTGTGTAAACGTTTAGCCGGAAAACCGGCAGCTGTCACTCATTTAGATTTGATTTTGGTTGCATCGGGCTGTGGTACATTCCTCATTGCTTCAGGAGCTTATGTCTTTCAAAGTTATGAAAAATGGACATATTTTGATAGTTTATATTACTGTTTCATTACTCTTACTACTATCGGTTAGTTCTGCTTGCATATTCAGTATTATTCCTATCACAACAAACCGGATAACCGGTACAAAACCGGTACATATTGTTTTGTAATTACATGCTTAATGGAAAAATAATAAAAATTCTAATATCTACAACAAAAATTATTTTTCAATCTTACTTTACTATTTTCATTTCTATAATATTTCTAATTTAATTCACACTCAAAAATTATTTTTGATTTTTTGGAAATTTTTCGATGAAAAAAAGAAACTTTTTCCATTAAAGCTCTCTTATAATAATATGTCTCGCGTATATTTATGAAAACCATTTAGCATTATGCTAAAATGAAATTATATTTACAAAATTTATTGCAAAATTTTATTCAAAACTTTTTTCTAATTCTTTTTTTGAATTTTATTTATTATTAACCTATTAAAGCTATTGTTAAATTTTTTTTTTTTATATTTTTTCAATAAATTATATATATATGTAGTAGTACTTTAGTAAAATAATAACAACATATGAAAAAAAGTAGTTTTTGAAAGAAATCTTTGCAGGTTTTGGTGATTATGTAGCATTACAAAAGAATAGCGCTTTACAAAGTTCACCGGAATATGTGACATTTGCGCTTATCTTTATCATGTTTGGTTTAACAGTTGTCTCAGCAGCAATGAATTTATTGGTGTTGCGATTTTTAACAATGAATACCGCTGATGAAAAACGTGATAAGCAAGAAGCACAACTTGCTGCTAGAGGCTTCTTTTTTTTTTTTGTAAAAAAACTTAAATTTTGAAATACTTGGGTCTTTTTTCAGTTACTTTTTTAAATGTTATGAAAAAATAATATGAAAATCTAATTTAAATTATCAAATACCTAAAATTTTAAGAGTAATCTGTAATTTCAATTTTTTAAGCTTTCTTTAATATTTTCTATTTGAAAATATTTTAGATTAATTAAAATAATAATGATCAAAGTGTTGATTCATAACTTAAAATATGTAAAATTATAACTTAATCCTAAACTTAACATTAATAAATTTTAAAATTGCAGGACTTGTACGTGTCTCAAAACATCTTGGCCAAAAATCATACCAATCCAAACGTTTATCATTTATTAAAAAACCATTTGATCACGAAAATTTTGAAAAATATGATGAAAAAGATGATGAACACGAGAAAGACACATCAAGATCAATTGATTTTGAAAATGCTTCAATATGTTCATGTTCATGCTATCAACTGCCGTATCCGGAAACTGATCTTCGACAAAGGTTGGAGAAAAAGATTTCATCTTTTTTTTTAAAGTATAGATTGATTAGTTACTTGTTAGCATTATAACGAAGTAATTTTCTTTTTTTTTACTTTATTGTTCCAATTTTCAAATTAGTTTGATTTACAGATTTGTGCAAATAAAAAGATTCAAAAAAAAAATAAAAAAATAAAATAAATGAAACAAAAGCTCCTGATATATTTATGTATTTTGAGTTTTTTCTTCAATTATTATTATACCTTAAGTGTGATGCGTAGTTAATTGATATGATATGTAACTAACTGATACTATATCTGATTAATTAATATGACTGGTGATTAATTCACATAATGTATAATTAACGACATAATGTGCAATTATTTCACATTTGATATTAATTAATTAATGTGATATGTGACTAATAGTATGATATGATGATATAAGGTGTGAGTGATATGATACGAGGAGTAATTATTATATTTTGTTAATTACAGGTATTCGGTACGCAGTCATCATCATTTGGCACATTCCGATATGCAACCATCGACACAACCAATTACATTTGAGCAGCAATATCCTGGCACGAGTGCCGCCAGTCGGCTAATTTCTAAAACAACTATTTGCTAGCATTTTTTTCTTTTTTTCGAAGTTCAAGAAAATAAGACAGTAAATACCTAAGAGTGATATATTCAGGTAAAGTATCATAAACATTTCTCTTCCTCTTGAGCTATTAAATGTTATAAAAATTAGAGATTACTAATACAACTAGCAACACTTTGGATTATAAATAATTCAATGTTTTTTTTTCCTATCTTTTGTTTTCTGATTTTACTTGAGTAATTGTTAAGTTATTGATCAAATATCATTCACAATCGATTATTGTTTAATCAATTAATTATTGTAAATTAATGGAACAAAATTTTAAATTTAAGCTACAAGTAACAATGTTATCTAAATTTATGCCTAGCAGATTTCAATTTTTTTTGTTTGTTTGTTAATCATCGTCTTGTTTATCTTTTAATTTCCTCTATATTGAACGATTATGAGAAAATAATGTTGTAAATTAAGATTGAAATATTGTTTTAATAAATAATACGCAAATACTATTTCCTTAGTGATACAATTAATTTAACGAATTGAAAATGTTTGAAAGCAAAAAATTCATCATGATTCGTTTTATCAGACATAACAGCAAATAATAAACAATAAACTTAGTTTGAGGATATTCAACCTATCAAGAAAATGCAATGATAAATTTTTGATTATTAGAAAAAATTAGAATAGTGAATTTCGTGATAATTTTGTAAATTATTCAATCACTGTTATGCAATGATTTAATTAATGAAGAAAAAATTATTGAAAATATTTAATAATTGTTAAATTAGATACAATTATACAAAAGAAGGGGAAATATATCACTGTTGTCTACCAAGCGTTTACATACTGATAATTTGATGATCTAATCATGCAGTTCAAATCATAATAGTACAGTATTTTTAAATTTTAAGATTCAAGAGCAAAATATTGAGCTGCATTTAGCTTTAACTAAACAAAGCTAGATGCAGCTGAATAATTTTTAAAAAAGCTCTAAAAGCTTTCAAATAAATTAGATTTCGTTTGTGAAATTTTTAATTCTCAATAAATATTTAAATTATTCAGAATTTAAAAAAAAATTAAACGCTACTTGTTTACTAAATGATTATTTATGACTCTAATTTTTACATAATTATCTTACATAATTATCGTTAATTAGTCAATTAATTAATTATTAGCAATTGAAAATAACCATAGGAGTACCATATCAGAATTGACCATTGTTATCAACTAGTGAATATAACTTCAATATTTTCTTAAATTAAAAAAAATTTACATAACATAACAAAATGAAAAATTTAAGAAGACAGAAAAATAGAAAAAAAATTCATTATAAATTTTTAGAGTTTAACTAAACGAACAATATCATAAGACAAATAAAAATATTTATTTGAAAAGACATGAAAACTTCCAAAGAGCTTGAACTAGAAAATTTGAATCTGAGTTCCGCTTAATTTTTCATTCAAAACCTAAAATTTGAAATTTTAGTAATATCATCAAATATTTTCATGACACATGCATGCATTATTCATTTAAATTTATCTCATACTTTTAATTCAACTAAAATAATTCTTAAAATTTTCCGGGAAAATTTTGGCGAAATTTGATTATTTTCATTTTAAACTATCAAAACTTAGTAGGCATTTGAATTGAAAATAAAATCAAAAGTTGATGAAACAAAAAAGTTAGAAAAGGTTGCTTGACTCTCTTGCCCCCTCTCTCTCTCTCTTTCCCTCCTTCTTTTTTCCACCAAGAAATTGCTTTCAACAATAACTTAAATGTTAAAATTTTATCAATTCAATATCAGAAAAATTAAAGAAATAATACCTTTTATTAATTTCAATATCAGATACTGTTTTGGGGTTATAATTCTTACTCAGTTATCATTACTTTACTAAGCTGTATCAGTTTGAAATTAGCTATAATATGATATAAAGCTGAATGAACTTTGAATAGAATAAAATCTAGCATTACAGGACATACCATTAATGATAAAGTGATATATATTATTATTATTTGAGATTAATTCTTAAAAAAAATCTTCAATTCAGATTTTCCAGTTTTCCCTATTTTAAGAATGACGTAAATTTTTCAATATTTCTAAAAACTAATTACTTCATCTATTATCTGTCTTTCCTTTGCTTTTTTTTTCTCAAAAATGCAACAATTAAAAAACGATGAATAATTTAAATGACTACAAAGTTTTATATTTCTGATTTTTCTTTTTTGGATGATTTTACTAATTTTAAAAGCTTCAATTATATCAATTAGTCTTCTCATTTTTCTGTGAATTTTCTTTAAAATTTCATTCATTTTCATCTTTAAATGACTAAAAATCTGTTTCTTTCTAAAATTCTATTAAAATATTTGTTTGTATTAAATTAATACTAATTTTCATTCATTCCCGTTCTTTCTTTTGTATTATTCAAACAAATTTACAAATTTGAATTCATTTTCTAAAAAATATTGTTGAAGTTTTCAATGTTAGAGAATTGTTGAAAAAGTATTAATCCAGCATGAATAGATATTAACATTAATTGATAAAATTCCGGCCAATAATCAGATGAAAAATTGCTGAGAAATTTTTACCGTAAAAAAAGAAAATAATGTTAGCTTGTTTCAAATTTTAATGAAACTTTTAGTTACTTATCTATTTATCATCAAATTCAAATTATTACTGTTATTCTTTAATAATTAAAAAAAAAATACCTTTACGGTAAATAATGGCCATAAACTTTTGCACAATTGCGCCAATTGTATAACTCGAGATTTAGCACAGATGTGTAGTGTATTTTATTTCAAATAAATTGATATCATTATGACTCGTGATTTTCATTGTTCAAATTCATCTCACTTAGAAATAAACAATCATTTAAAAATTAATGTGCAAATCATCCATTTCAAATAAATGAATTCTTAGAAACTTTTTTTAATCATAATTTTGCTAAATCATACTTAAAAATTTTTTGATTAGTTACTTACACACTGAACAGACGTCATAATAACACATATAGCATAAGGGAATCAAATGCAATATATGTGTAATGAACCAGTAAACACAGATGAATTCATTTAATGCATTTTTTTTTCATATATACCAATAATTACAATAATTACACTACCATAGTTTACAATACATTTACAACTATGCTTAATATATATCACGAGAAAATAATACTAACAACAATGATAATAGTGATAATAATAATAAAATGACAATAATGATAAATAACATAATATGAAGAAAGAGAATGACAGCAATAATAATTGTATATTAAAAATAGGTAATAATATTGATAATGACAGTAAGAATGACAATTATTATTATGCTTATAATATTGACATAATAATCAGAACAGTAGGAATAATAATAGAGACAATATTGTCATGCATTTTATAATAATATATTGATGGATATTGTCACAATGTCACTTAATTTTTTTTTACTGTATCACTTCATGCATTTATTTTCGTCGCTCTCATTTGCTAAATTTATTTATGAAAAAAAAAGAAGTCAATTGAAATAGTCTAACTTTTGTTTATCGACCTGTCATTTCAGTAAATCAAATATTCTTAGAAAAAAAGATCTGATTTTAACTTTTAATTCTTTCTTGTTTGGTAAGTTGTTGAATATTTAAGATTTTCAAAGAATTCACTTCATTGAAAAAAAGAATTATTTGAATTAATAATTACGTTTAATTTCAATTCTGACATTAATCGTTAGTATCGAATAACTTTCATAGCAATTATCTGTTCAACATATAATCGACAATAATTGTAGATAAAAGTGAAATTTTTTGATTTCGATGATTAAATAATACTGCTAAAATTCATATTTACTTTCAATTAAATTGTGTTATAGTTAATTAAATCAATGAAAAATATTTCTTTGAAACTTTGATATTTGTTAGCAGTTAATCAATGATTATTTATGGCAAATTTGGTAGAAATAAAGAGCATTTTAGTTTAATTCTCTCAAAAATTTATTTAACAAAAAAAATAATTTAATAAATGAATCGAAAATAATTGTATGAGTGGTCTACTTTTTCTAAAATGGTATCTCTGCTCTCTTTTTTTGTTTATTTGCTTTATATATTACTTCACGATACAATAAAATTATAATATTTCAGAATATCTGTATAAGATATATTTTCAAACATAATGGTAGATATTTTTTATTATGAGATATATTAAGATGAAGCACATGGTTTGTTACTAGAATTATGAACGTCATCAGAATCATGATTTATGATACGTTCATTAGCAATCATCTGAGTCATGATATACTTGTTAGCAATCAACTGAATCGTAGTTAAATTTACAAGTCATTATCAGATCATCCGAATCATGATATGCTCACTTGTGATCACAATTGTCTAGCGATCAAGCAAATCAAAGTATATTATTGAAATATGTTAGAAAAAAAAGTCAAAATTTCGAAATGACGAAGATATTCATAAATTGCCGCAATTCCAAAAATATTTTCTTAGATCTTTGAAATAAAAAATAGTAAAAAAACGAACAAAAAAGAAAAAATGATAAGATTTCAGGGAGAGATAAATTGAAAAATAGTAAAAGACACAAAAAGTTTTTTCGTTATTCTCAATTTGATTTCAACTATTTCATTTCCATTTACTATATTTATAAAGAATAAGAACATCCGCAAGAAATAAATTCTAGTGGTTGAGTTTCAAGAATAAAAACAATAGTTAATGAAAGCAATGACAATAATAAGATAACAGTAATGATAATTGTGATAATAAATTCATTATAAAGATGTTCCTCTTATCTTTTCAACTCTTTCTCATTTTAACTGATTAAATTAAATGAAATTCTCTAGTTTTCTGCTTTCCAGCTAATATTATTTTTATTGGATTATTGACATGTAATCATTAAATCCTTCAATCTTACCCATAGCAATATTTTGCTTTATCATATTGTTAATGAGGTAATTAATTGGTCCAACTTAATGATGTTTTATATTGAATACATATCAGTATTTTGCCTTGTCATATTGTTAATGAGGTAATTAACTATCAACTTAACGGTGTTTTACTTGTTAAAACTTTAGCCAGCATTAAAATTAATGGAAAATTTGAAAAATAATCATTTTAAAAAGTATTATATTCTATTCTTATCTTTTTTTCTCCAATAAAATTGAATAAAAGACTTAGGTGAAATAATTAAAAAATGTTTGTTTGAGCATTTCTTTCTTAAAACAATAGGAAAAATTTTATCGAGCAGAAACTAAAAAGCTGAATTAATAACTTTTATTCAATTAAATGATATTAAGTAAAAAAATTTTACGATCCAATAATTTATAAGTTAAGTAATTTTAGCATGAAGAATGTAATAAAAAATTCCCAAATTCATAGTAAAATGATTCAGTAATGTTGATTGATAATATGGTGATAACAGTCGTGATAAAGCGATAGTAATAGACAATGATAATGGATAATGATAACGATACAATGAAGCAAAATATTGTATTTTGCGATATCTTAATATGTTTTGCTGCATCATTTTAATTATGATTGTAATTATTTGTTACTATCATTGTCATCACTACTATATTCTAATATTAATGTTATTATCAGTGAAAAATATTGATGTAATCTGTTAAAATTATCTCTGCTTGTAAATCCATCAACTTACAATGATATGATAAATAAATTATTGATGCCACGATTCTATTGGTGATTGATTTCATTGATATCAGATTTTAGATCAAATTATTAGCAACACAAGTGATCACATAAGCAAACAAAATGCTTAATAAAATATTTGGCTTAGCAATTATTCTTCATTCCATACAACAACCTCTTCAGGTATTTTCACTTTATTAAAAACTGAAATGTATTGCAAAAATTGAAATGGATTAAACTGTAAAAATTTTCATACAAACATCATTCATGTAATTAATTCATTTATTTGAAAAGAAATTCTTTATGATTTAAAAATTGAAATTTTAAAAATTATGAAGTATATCAGTATGTTTCAACTGTTTTTTCACTTTTTAAATAAAAATCTTATTAATCCATAATTTTTAATTATTATTAATGTTTTTTTTGCAATAAGAACAAAAAAAAAAAAGGAATTTATTCTGAAAATTTAATCAATAATTATTATTCCTTTTGCATTATTCACTCAAAGAATTTGTATTCATGGATTAATGTTAATTTTGTTAAAAAATTTTTTTGTTTATCACTCATTATTGATTATCCAAATTAAAAAAATGATTTAATTAGAAAAAATAAATATGAATTATAGGCAATATTTTTGAAATTTCATCCAATGGTAAATAATTATGGAAGAAGAACATTTGATATGCATAATGCGCCGCTAAATTATATCAATAAGCGTGAAGGACTTAAAGGTATAATATTTTATCAAAAGTTTCATAGCACTGAAAAAAAAAGTAAAAAAGACGAAATTAATGCTTGAAAAAAAAAATTAAAATTAAAAAATCAAAAAAAACTTTTGAAGTTTAATCATTTAATCGATTAATTACCATAAAACAATCAGCTACGTTAGCATTATTCATTAATTTTAAAACTTATAAAAACTGTGTAAATTGCAAGACAAGAAAAAAAAACTTGCAAAGAATCTCGATGTGTTATTTTATTATCAATTCGTGCATTCATTTTAATCAAAAACTACAATTGACAAAACACTGATAAAATTGATCGATCAAATGAATATGATAAATTGATTGGTAAAATTAATTAGATAAATTGTTGAATGAAATTAATCAGAGAATATCAAATGAATCATTTTCTTTCATTTAGATTTTTACGAAATGACTGATCATCGCATCTATCTAATATATCTAAAATTTAACTTCTTTCTTTTTTCTTTTTAGCATACTAATTAATATTTTCTTCCGAGTATGCTAATTAATATTTTAAAAGATCGATTAACTTAAAGTAACATCAAAAATTTGTTAGCACTATGACTTTAGTGAAATTTTTAATAATTAACAACAACTAAATGAAGCTACCTGATGCATTTAATAAAATATTTGCAAAAAAATATTAATGAAACGTAATAAAAAGAATAGTTAATTATTAAATTAATTAGATAATATTCTAATTGCTAAACAAAGCTTTTAATACAAAAGATAAACGGGATAAATTTTTTCAAAAAAAGCTATTTTTTAAGGAAGTTTTTTTTTAAATAAAGAAATTTCAGATAATTCAAATATACTTTTGCATTTCTTTTTTAGGCTATCGTTGGGATGAATGCGAATTTTCACCGTTAAGTTGTTTGCTAAGACGTTAAAATGGAATGATTCATTCAAAAAAAGATTTGCTTTGAAAATTTTGTTATTCCTTTAGTTGCTTATTTATTTTTTTTAAAAAAAATACAAAAAAAAGTAATAAAAGCGAAAATAAAAATTGCATACTTTTCTGCTCAGAAAAAAATTCTATCGCTTTTTTTTCATACTGAAATATTTGTACAGAATATATTACTAAGATTCAAAAATTAGATGGGAAAAAATGAAATTAATTGATTAACAGTGATAACTAATATTTGTTTTGCTAGTGCAATAAACTTTTTGTTTTCAACAAAATTTTCATGGCAATACTTATGCTTAATAAATTTATCATTTGCTTGTTCATATTACATTTTTTTTCAAGCAACTCAAATTTCATTTTTAAAATTAATTTTAAATGATAAAAGATAATGTGTAAGGTTTAATAAAGATAAATCACAAGATATTATAATGGTGAAAAATAAATTGACAAATTGAAAATGTTATGGGAAAAATTTGTGAAAATAAAAACTCACAATGGTTTATCAATCATAAACGAAGTTATAACTTTTTTGAGGCATAGAAATTAATGATAACTAATTTAAAAACTTTCAATTAGATGGTCTATCTGACATTGCAGGTATTAATCAGCAATGACCTGTCTTTCAATTAGCAACTCGTTTGACACTACAGATCAGTCAGCAATGACCTGTGCTTCAAAATTTTATGAAATTTTTAAAGTAATAGGAAAGACAAAGAAGAAGAAAATAAAAATATTTTATACACCAAGTAGTTTTACAAAAATTTATAGTCACAAAATTTATCAAATTAAACTGAATTGTTGCTAATCAATCAATCAATAAAATACTCATAATATGAAGATTTATCAAAGTAGTTTACCGAAAAATACCATCGAATAAATGCATAAATAAAAAAAAAAGAAAAAAAAAAACGAAAAGACAAAATTAGATCAGAAAAAAAAGAATGATTCAAATTCCCATATTTTAATGTTAAAATAATAATATAAATAGTAATAATAATAATAAAAATAATAGTATAAGTAATAATATAAGTAGAAAAATAATGACAGTATAAATAGTAATAATAATGCTAATAATAGCAATAATAATAATAATAAAATTTACGAAGTATCTATGATATATAAAACTTTCATCATTTTTTTGCTTTTCCTCTCTTTTTCCATGCCATTTATTCAGGTTGCGCTAAACGATATGTAAAAAAAAAGCAAAAAAAGAGCAAAAAAAAGACAATAAATTTTGTTTGGGAAATTTCCATGCATAAATGCAATTTAATTAAATCATTTCAACTACTCATTCATCTGTCCTACCATACGCGACATTTGTGACGTGGATTCATTGGACTGCCCGATGGACAATTATATGCTTTTGCGAAATCTTCCGAATTTGATAATGGCCCTTTTACCCTGTAATCATATGAAAATTTTATAGTCAATAAATAAATTAATCATAAGTCTCTCGAATTATTGCATTATTATGTAACAAATACACCTTTATCATCATTATTATTATCATAAATTTATAAAAAAACTTGCAAATTTTTTAAGAAACTACTGCTATTCTTATTTTCATTATTATTTATTATTATTAATTTATACCAATTTGTTATTATTACTTTAAAATGATTTTTGTTATCATTAATTATTTCATTAATTATCATTTTTTCTATTACATCATTAATTGCCACTATGTTATAGATTAAACAGAATTTTTCCACGATAATTTACACATATGCAAGCAATTCACCTGATTGGTCCCGGTGAATGCTCAGATGTCCGTAATTTTCTCACTGCTTCCTTATCATTCATAGTACCACACCAAATCTAAAATTATCATTTATTCCCAAATTTAGATTAAAAAAATGACAAATTTTTTACTAATAATTTTAAATCATTCACTTAATAACAGTAGCATTTTGAATAAATAAAAATCTTTAATTTGCAGTTCCTTTTTTAAAAGAATTACATTAGCAATATGAGCAACAAATAATATATTTAATCTATGTATCATAGATTAAAATCATTGTAATGAACACTTAATGTAGTATATTTATTGTATGAGCAAATAATTTCCAAAAAATTTTTCGATATATTAATAATTTCAAACGTTTAACAATTTTCCATCACTAATGTTTTGAAAATATTTAACAAACTTTAATGTTTTTTTCGTTTTAATTTTTCGTTTGTTAGGAAAAGAAAAGAGATTCAACTGATGATATTAATAATTTATAAGTGAAATAATCATAGTAAAACACTTCTAAATGACTTTTTTCTGCCTTCCAATTTTTGCTTACATATGTTTTTTAGTAATAAATATTACTTTTTAAACTGAAAATGAAGTTAAACACAAGCAAATATTTTTATACATTTTAAAATCTTTTCTGAATTATTAAAAAGCAAAAAAAAATTTATCAAAAAAAATCGAAAAAATTAAATCAAAAAAAAATCAAAGTTTTTTTAGTTCTTTTTTTTTCTAATTTTCATTCTTTTCAATTTATTTTAATTATTATACTGCACAAAATTAATTATAGAAATAAAAAATTCGACAAAAAAGGTATTTAAAAATCATACTTCGAATAAAAAGTAATATTTCATTCTATTATCTATGTTATTGAACGAACTAATTCTAAATTCTTATATTAAAGTACTTCTATTAAAATTTTAAGAAATAAAATTTTTTCTTAAAAATTATTTTAAACTACTGCAATTATCACTTATTTATTCTAAAGAGAAAATACTGTATTTTTTTTGATATGAAAAATCTTTAACAGTACTAAATATTGAATACGTATTATTCACCTGAGCATAATTCAGGAAGAATAATTGATCATGCGTCAAGTTGACACCCGGCAACAGCGAGTATTGTGGATTTTTGCGCACATACTTTTTATATGCTCTGTAAGCCTGTTTCAATCCACCATTATCAGCTATATTTTCACCCTGAAACGCATAGCCTTACCTTTTCAAAGAAAAATTCTCTAATAAGGCTTGTACAGTTAACAGTTTTCTGGAATAATTAATATCTAATTAAGCCGCATATTTAGGCCCAATTAGGTATTGTTTTTTTCTAGGAGTTTGTGAAATTATCACTGTCTGATAAGGTTCGCATGAAGAAGTTTCGGAATGATTATTTCTATAAGGGAAATAGTTATTAACCAATTAGGCTTATAGAAAGGAAGCTTCTGGAATAACTATGTCTAAGGAGAATAATCTCTGTCTGTGACCTTGAGATGATCATTGTTTGTGATCTACTATACTAATAAGGTCAGCACGAGAAAGAGTATTCGATATGTCTAATTAAGCAATCATTGATGATTGCTTAATTAGACTTCCAGAACAAACATTCCTAGAATAATTTAGTATGGCTTGTACGAGGAAAATTTTTTAAATGATTATTATCTGATTAAGCTTGTACAAATAGATGTTCACGTAATTTACGTGCCTAATAAGGCTTGTACTATTGCGATCATTGCCAAATTAAGCTTTTAGAAGGAAATAGTTTCTGAAACAGTACTTGAAAGGAAATTCCCAAAAATAATTAGACTATTATATAAGCAATTAATTTAAATAATTCGAGTGCAAATGCAATATTGATGCAATTAATATATTTTATTATTATTAATATTTTTATTAATTATAAGCGATTCTTCTAAAAACTATAAAGTAAATTATAAATAATAAATGAAATTGATAAAATAGATTAATACAATTCATATTATACATTCATATATTATTATTATTATCAAAAAGTCATTTTTTGATTAAAAAAAAGAAAAAATTAAGATACTTTTGTGCTACGTCCATTAACTTTCATACCAATTTGTTCAAGTACAAACGCTGAGTATTGGTCCTCAATGCATTTTGTTTTCATTTCAAATTTTTCAATTGTTGCATTATCCCACCATTGTCGAATATTACCATATTTATCATACAATCGTCCTATATTACATTCTGATTAGAAAAATTATTTTTTAGCTTAAAAGCTAAAAGAGAAAAGATTAGTAAATACAGTATTTGCCTTCTTTAATTTAAAATAAAACTTTATAAATTTAGCAAGGATAAACATAATATGATAAAAGTATTAGTTGTTATTATTGAGATAAAATAATTTGATTGAAAAGATTTATTGAAATTCAAATTAAAAAGGAAAAAAGTGTAAACTAATTCAATTTTTTTCGAATTAATCTTTCTGAATCAATTTTCTTTCTGCTAACTACAAAACACTTTACATAATAGTTTTTCAAACTTAAAAAATAGAGTAATTTTGATTACATATTTTTAATTAAATTATGTAAAAGTTTATGCTTAACTTTTTTTTTGGAAAAATCATAGATATAAATAATTCAAATAATAGCTAAATTTGAATAAATGATAAACAGAATGCATCAATACCTCGATCATCAAATCCATGCGTAATTTCATGGCCAATTACAACACCAATACCGCCAAAGTTCATGGAACGTGGAAAATGTTTATGATAGAAAACCGGTTGCAAGATACCAGCCGGAAATACTGAATTTTTTTTTCATTCATTTTGGTATCGGCAGCCAAATATTTTTATTTTAATAATAATAATTTAGATTAAAAATAATTGCGAAGGAAAGACATTATTCATTGAATAATTAAGAAAAAGAAATTACTGAAAACAAAAATTGTAAGAATGAAAAAAAAAAGGAATTTTTAATTGATTAGAAACGAAAGTTGGATAAATGAAATAATATTAGCATAAATTAAATTTGTAATGTAAAAATTTTTATAGCAATTTAAGAAATATCACATATTTTTGCAACGTTTTCAAAGTGCTTTGGATTTAATCATAAAAATAAAAAAAAATAACAAGAATTTTTTTTAATTTAGAAATATAATAAAAACTAACCAATAAATTTTTTTTTGCACAAATTTAACAAATTTCAATTTTTTAAAAAAATATTAAAAATTTATTTCAATCATTGTGAGCTTGTAAGTAAAATATACTTTTCCATATTATTTACTTACTTATCTCATTCGTATTTGGACTATAAAAAGCATTCACAAGTGCTGCACCAGCAACCCATCTGAAAAGAATAAAAAAAATTAGTTTTAAAATATTTTGAAATTAAATTTCATGCTTGATCAAACGATCTCTCAAATAACGAATTACAGATTTACTGCTAAATTTAGCTTCCAATAGAATAAATTGCAAAAATTTTAAGTTACCTAATTAACACAAGTATCTCATACATTTTTTGAAATTACATTTAAAATTGCAATAATGCAAAAAAAAAAAAAATAAATAAATAAATAATATAATTTACATTATTCAATAAGTTAAAATTACACAAGTAATTCTAGCTTAAAAATTTGATTTTTAAATTACTATTGTTTATATTAAACATATTTAATCTTAGCTCAAAATTAAAAATTTTTAAATTCCATACTAACTGCATCAAATAATTTATACAGCAATAAATTTTAAAATACTTTTGGAATTTTTTAAATTATGTGATTTATATTACATTACATTTGTAATAAAATGTATTTTTTAACATCACCAAAATTACAAAATGATAAGATGGCAAGAAAAAAATTACAAAAAAAATTTAATTAGTTATACCTTTCACGATCAACTTTTTTAACGATACGTTCTAATATATCCTTCTGATACATATGATAAAATTGAAATTTTGTCTTGTAATAATCACCATCATAAACAATGTAAGTTTTGTAATCATTATCGACTAATTTTGAATCATCCAAATAATTCGGATAACCAATCTTTTTGCTCATCGCATCAACCTGATGAAATAATGGAATACCATTATTAATATTATTACTATTATTGTTTATTAATATTACCTTTAATTACTATTATCAATCAATATTATAATATTATTATTGTTATTGTTATTATTGGCTAACATATTTCAACATTAAAACTTCTATTATTAAAAGAAGCCAATCAAAATATCTGCTTATTGTCCTAGAAATGAAAAAATAGTCCAATTATCCATTATCATATTATTACGAAAAATCACCTAAATGTTAAAATAATAATAAAAATAAGATTTATATAATAACCTAAATTTAAAATATATATTATAATCTATTTTTAAAAATAATGAAAAACAAATGCACAGTAATTTAAAATATTTTTTAAATATTCAAATCAATAAAATTTCAATTATGAATTATGTTCTCTTTTTTGTCTGTCTTACTTTCAAATTTAGCTTTTGAATAATTAACTTTTTCAATAGTTATTAGTGAATAGAAAAATTATTAAAAATGCTTAATACTTTTTCCTTAGCAAATTCTTTTGCATGTTCAGTAAGCCAATCTTCGGATTGCAATATGTCCACAAATGTTGCCATTATTAATTCAATCATTTCTTCCACCTAAATATACAAAAGAAAAAGAAAATACAAAAAATTGAAATTAATTAGTTATTTTTTGATTTTTTTATTGTCAAATTTTGTTTCCTTTTCCTTATAATTAATAATAAAAGAAGTTTTTTAATTTAAAGAAAAAAGAATGCTAAATTTTTTAAAAATACCAGAATTTTGAAAATTTTTAAATTGAAATAAAAAAAAATTCGGACATAAAAACATCCATTAAAAACTTTTTATTTAACAGTGGTAACATTTTTAGAGTTTTATAAAATACACAAATATTAGCTCCAAAAATTCTACTGAATTTATTATTTAATTGGTAATCAATTTGATAACAATAATAAATGTTTATCAAATTTTGAGAACAATTGCTACATTTATAAAATTGATATACATTTATTATTCTTGCAAATCTATTAGCATCTATCAAACTTATGAATATTAGATGGTATTTATCAATTTTACCAATTCATTTTCCTGTCATTTTGCTACTTTTTCCCAACTTTATACAATTATCATTTTAATTCAAAAAAATTTCACTAACAATAAAAATTATTTAATAGTGGTAATAACTGATAAATATCATTTAAGTCATTCAATAATAATACACAAATATGGTTTAAATCACTTATCTAACAGTAAATCTTATTTAGCTCATCTAAGAATAGTATATAAATACTATTTAACTCATTTATTTAATAATGATATATAAACATCGGTCAACTCGTTCACCAAAGTATCATTTAATAATACATAAATATCATTTGACCTATTTACCCAAGTATTGATCAACCCATTTACCTAGTAATGATACATAAATATCACATAACTTACTAACCTGTTTCTTAGCTTCGTTATCAAAATGCTTCCTAATATAAATACTTGATACGGCCATTGGCATCAAATTATTGACACGTGTCACACAACTATGCCAACGCATTTTTGGCACTTGCATCACTGCAAATACATTTTTATATTCTTTCATAATTTAAAATTATTTACATCCATTAAGATAAAATATATATTTATATCCTTTTATAATTTAAAATTTTCAAAAAAAAGACATACCAAAAATTTTCAAATAAAAAATAATAAAATTTTTATTTAAATTAAATTTATTTAGAAATTTCTTTAAATTAAAAATTTTCTTTCAGATTTATTCAAAAAAGAAATAATTCTTTTTTTGAGAAAAAACATTTTTATTAAATCTAACTAACTTTCAAAATAATTGTTTAAAAAAAAAGACGGAACAAAGAAAAAACGTTAAGCAAAATAACAAATAGAATTATTTCTTTCCCACTTTATTGTTGTTATTAGAAGTAAAATCAATCTATGAAAATTTACTTTCATTTTCAATACATTGAAGAAAAAAAGAACTTTTGCAAAATTTGATAATTTATGTTTTAAAATGGTAGAAGAAAGGAAAAAATGCAAAAATAAAAAACAAAAACAAAAGCAAACTTACAATTAAGACTTTTATAAAATTTGAACATTGTTAATGCAAATGGATCAGGTAAATCACGTAGCATTGTTTTAAAAAACCAACACCAAGCCAAATAATTAGAAATTATCCTTGAAATTAAAAAAATTACGAATGAATTTGAAATGATTTGAAGTGAATAAATAAAATTCTTTTGAAGTAAATAAATAAAAATCAATTATAAGTAAAATATTTATCATAATGTTTTGTTATTGTTGGCTATTTTCTCATTAATTAACTAAGTAATTGATTTTATTGCTATAATTTATCATTTTGATTTTTTCATGCTTAAAAGAAATTGAAATAAAAAAAAGTAAATGTTTCATGTTAAAAAGCCTAGTAAATTAAAAAACGCGAAACTTATTGTTTATAATTTAGTATATGATCACTATTAATGTTGAGAAATTTGATTTCATCAAATACAACAGAGTATGATAATATCTAGAATTGAAAGTTAAACATTTCAGTTAAATAAAGTTAATTTCAATTCTTTTTAAAATTATGCCATACCTTTTGTCATATTTTGGTAGCAATTCATCAAGTTTTTTAATAAATTGTAAACCATAAATGACAATTTCCGTTGTATCATTCATTTTAATTATTTGATTATCTGATGAAGCAATATTTCTATAAGTAGTATTTTAAATTGAATATAATCCAAATATTATATTATTAATATATTTTAAATTCTTCACTAACTTCATACTTTATTTTTCATCTTATACAAAATTTACAGTTATTTTAAAAACAATAAAAAAGAAATAAAAAAACATACTGAAAAATTGTACTGAAGAATAATAACCAATTGAAATTTGGAAATTCCTTACTCATTTGTTCAATTGTCATTTTGTTGTATAATTCAGCAATATCATGTCTTAAATCTTCGGATAAGGTGATCTGAATTCATTTTCAATTTAATCAATGCAGAAGTATTACACTTCTCTTTTTTTGCATTTTTTGCAAGTTAATTTTTTATTATATAACTTTTTTTAATTTCATAAAAATCTTTTATTTTGCAATTTAAAGTCCAAGTTTATAAAAATTTAAATAAAATTTAACAATTTTTTTTATCTGAAAAAAAAACTCTTTTTTATAAAAATGAAGAAGTTACATTTTTGTTTCTGCGCTTAAAATTCATGACAAAATGTGTATGTGTTATGCAATTTAAGATTTGTATAAAAATTTGTATATATAGCTATTAATTTAGTAATTAAATTTTTATTAAAAACGAGCATTTGCAAGATCAGTTTCAAACTGTAAAATTTCATCAAAATCACGATTGTATGCTTCAACTCGAGCTTCCAATAATAATAAAACATCTCTAATCAATGTTTTATATGCTAATCGTTCTTCTTGCGTTTCTGATAAAATGTAAAAATCACGTGCGAATAAATTCAACGCTGGTTGATCAATCTAAAATTTTTAATTTAAAAACAAAAAAATTTGAATTTTTAAAAATCAATCAATTTATTTCTTTTAAAATAATCTTTAAATAATAATAATAATTTTAATTATATTTCAAATTTTAGCATTATGCTTTCCGAATAAATAATTCATACAAAATATTATTCATTTTTTTTAAGTTCAAATATAGAATTTTAGAAATTGAGACATAAAAGAGCAACAATTATACATAATCATACTCTCTTATCAACAGTTATTGATAATAATGATAATAGAATGCCTTCATGTAATAAATGATAGAAGATAAATTTATAAGTTCTTACCAATAAAACATTTTGCTGCGAGTTTTTATCATCGGGTTGAACAGTTGCTTTAAAAAGTGAATCACTTCTAAATTTAGCAACCATTATGCCATACATTTGTTCGACTGATATCCTTGGCTTATTATCTGATTTTTCTAAACTTGGCCAACCACCAAAATTTTTCACTGCATTATCAAATGTTTCCCTCCATGTATTTATTATTGCAGCTGAAAAATAAAAAACAAAAAAAAAAAAAAAAAAAAAAAAAATAAAAATAAAAAATTAAAAAATTGCATAATTAAAATTTTATTTAAAAATGTTATTTTACATTATTATCACTAAAATGGTGCTTAAATTGATTAAATTGATACAAATGATTGCTATGTATTTCGACAGTACCATCATAATTTCATCAAATCAATCGATAATTTAAACCAGAAGTGATCTACTTTCATTGAGGCACAGATGATAAAACGCTCGAGCTTTTCGTACAGCATCACCATCCAAGCTTTCTATATTCTTTTGTTCCAGTAGACCTATAATAATATTTTATATATTATTATGCTTTTTTTGAAATTTTTAGATTAGAATTGAAAATTTCACAAAAAAGTTTTAATCAAAATTGCTAATTAATGAAAAATGTTAATATGATATATGTAAAAGAAAAAAAAAAATAATTACAACCTTTTAGTGCAAACTCAAGATCTTGTCCTAAATTTTCAAAATTTGACACCGAGGGTGCATCATCAGGTATCGGATGATCTTTAATCCAATTTCCACATGCATATTCATAAAAATCTTCACATGGATCCATCTTTGCATTCATTGATGTCAAAATTACCGATGCTATATAGTAGATGTAGGTAGATAAATAAATAAAAAATATAAGTATTCAAGTGCTCATACAAAATAATTTCCATAAGTAGTAAAGAAAAACCATTAAATTTATAATTAATAAATAATTTGAAAATTGAATGGAATTTAGTTACAGTATTAAGTTGTTTAATCAACAATTGATAATAGTATGGATATTAATTTATTCAAAATGAAATATTTCAAGAAATGAGTGAGAAATAATACTGATATTATCATTATTGTTATTATTTGTTATTTATTATTGCTATTATTATCAAAGGATGAAAAAAATCAAAAACAAAATTTCAAAAATGCTTTTTACACTGGGAAAGAAAGGTAGAAATCAAAAATCAAATATGATAGTAATGATGATGATTGATAGCAATAGAGATAACAATGAGAATAATAATGATAACAAAAATGGTGATGAAAATAAATAACAACAAATAACAATAATAATTAATAATGATGACTAATAATAATAAACAATAAGCAACTATTCTAAGTCCAGTTATAATCTATTATAATTATTACCAGATATATATCTTTTTAAATTAAATGATAACTTACCTGTTTTAATACATTCAGGTGTTAAACATATTGTTGTTGTTTTTCTTACAAGTAAGTAAACTAATGTACAACTTAATGCAATTGAAATGATGCCAACAAATGTTAGAACAGTGATAAATGGACGAGTAGCGATACGTTTCCATATTGACTTTTCCACATTTCTTGGCTCATCCATATTTACCCTCAAAGATAATCAGTAATGATTATTGATGGCAATGATTATTGATAACAGGAATAAAAGATAAAAATAGTTGCTGTAAAGAGAAGGAAAGAAAAAAAATATGAAATTGATTTCGATAATATTATTGTATAAGGAAAAGCTTAATCATATTTAATCTTAAGATGTAATTTATTATTAATCCTCAAATCTGCAATAATTTTTCACTAACAAAAATTATTTTAAATTAGTTGTTCATTTCAAATTTACATAAATTTTCCAATAATAAAATTTACATTTTCATTTCAAAGCTATGGTAATAATTTTCAGGTAGCAAAATTTCTTCCACTCATTTGAAATTATAGGAATTTTTTAACAACAAAATTTGTAAAAATTTTTCTGACAGATTGGAAAATAAAAAAGCGATGATTTTAATAACAAAAACAACGATGATAGTATACGTATAATGAAAGAATAAAACTTATTTACACTATATAAAATCTAAAATAATCCTCTAATTACTTTACTATAAATTCATTTGTTTATTTTTATCCTGCTTGAATTTCCGGTTTGTCAATCAAACTGCCAATTATTTTTTTCACGTAGCAATTTTTTTTTCTTTTTTTTAGAATTTAGTAAATCGGAAACAAACTTTGCCAGTCTTGTTCTCTCTTTTTTTACCCTTCATTTCTTCAACAATTAATTAGTTAGAATGTAAACTGCTAGATTACAAATAAATTGCTGAAAAAGATGATATCATCAAATAATATTTTCTTAGATATAGTGATAATTTAAATTCAATATATTTATGATTTTAACTTTCATTATCATTACTTCATATGTTATGATTGATAAAAAATAAGGAAGAAAAATAGACGATAGAAATTGAATAATAATATTTTGTAGTTATAATGGCACTTTAGATAATTGTAATTTTAATTCAAAAAAAAAAAAAAAAAATGCAGTTTCAAACGATTCTAACTATTACTGATCTTTGTTAGTTTTTGTGTTCTTTCTTTCACTCTCTCTCTCGCTCTCTTTTTTCAATAAAATTAAATCTGATAGTTTTAATTGCCATATATTATTTAAAATGTGCACAATTGATATATGTGTAAGCTTTGCAGATAATTAAAAGAAAAGGGTAGTTCAAACTGATCAAAATTTAATCACACAATTTGTCTTTTTTCCTTCTTTCACTTTTGTTATCTATATTTAATTAATTTTTAGCATAGAAAAATTCATATCAAAGATTATGAAAACGAGGTCACTACATTTTTTTAGGAGAAAAAATTTATGTGAAAAGAATTTATTAATTATTAAAATTAAACTTTCAGTTAATTATTATCAGAAGAAAAAAATTTATGCAAATAACCAAATTTAATTATTTAATTTAGTAAAGCACACAGAAAAAAGAAACAAAAAATTTCTATCACTCATAAAAGGAAAAGTATAAGCAAAGAGTGGGAATATCTTAAAGTTAGAAGCCAACCAACAAAAAGAGCGAGAGAGAGAGAAAGAATAAAAGAAGAGAAAAGTATTCTAAACTATCCAAAAATGTGAAATGATTTTAGGGTGCAGCTAAATAAAGCATGACGATTCAAAGTTAAAGTAAAGCAGCAACATGTCACTAATATTATCACTATTATTAATATTATTATAACTTATTATCTATATTATTGCTATTACTAATTCTCATTCTTCCATCATTACTAATAATCAAATTATTATGAACTAGTATATCAAATAATTAAAAAATAAGGCAAAAAATTGTTCAAAATGTAATATCTAACATTAGTTAAATTTTTTATACCATTGATAAATGCTTTCCGGAAAGTTAATTTTAATATAATATTAGTAATAATATTCTAATATAAATTAAATATGCTTTTAGCACATTATCAATTCATTCTAATTTTCCACAGTCAAAATTTTAATGTCTTAGGCGAACTTATACGATTAAATGTTAACATAAAAGGTAATTGAAATGAATCAATAATTCTGCTAGGGCTTTTTTTAAGCATTCAAAGAGAAAATGATAAGTAAAATGATAGGATAAGTTACCAAATACTTACCTCTCAAGCGTCATTGGTCATATAAGCATAACTGTTTAGTTGATTTGATAGCAAAATAATCATACGATTATCGTTGACATTTCCTATTTTATGCATATTTAATAGCATTTAAAAGTATGCTTTCAGTGTATTAAATAAGTTTAATTAATTATATAAAAGAAACAAATAAAAAGTATATAGATAAATAAATTAATAAATTGAATAAATATATAAAATTAATGAGAAAGAAAGGAGAAATAAATGATTGAATAATGAACAAATGAATAAATAAATAAATTTAAATAGATAAACGCGCATATATTGCTTTATTCGTTACAGTGCTTAATATTACATTTGATATTTTAATAATTTGTGATAATTTGATTGGCAGAATTTTAGTTGTTTTCACTTTCTCATTTTTTAATCTTTCTTTGAATTGTTTTTTCTTTCGTTGTTTTTTTAGTTTTAGATTTTTGATTGGTTGATTAATACTTTTATACTATATTACCTTTTTTTGTGGTTATTTTTCTCAACAAAAGTAAAAAAAGCATTTATTTATTTTAAAAGTGATAAGACAATAAATTTACATATGTGTGTGTATGTATGCGTGTTAATGTTTGTTGATTAAAAGTCCTAAATAAAGAAGCAATGAATTTAATAAATATTTTCTGTCCCATAATTTGGTCATTTTCAATTGTTTATTTTTTTGTTTCATAACGTTGTTGACAGCAATATCCAATTGAAATAATATCATCGTTTTCCTTTTTTTATCTCTCAAATGAAATATTGGAAAAAGTAAATTTTTAATTTTTTTAAAATCACTAAATTGCTTAAAATAATGAACAACAACAGCAACAACAGTAATAATAACAGCAACACAACAACGATAACAACACAATAACAACAACAACGTAGACAGCAACAATAACAATAGCAAAACGAAAAATCTAATTGTTTGTGTTTCATTATTTACTTCACATATATAAACATTAATTTTCTAATTATTTATCATATAATCTTATTAATAATGGTAATTTAAAACAATAAAAATAATACGAAAAGAAATGAAATTAAATGAAATGGGAAATTTAAAAAAGTTTCTCATCTCACTTAACACTTTTTTTTCAAAAAATAGTAAAAATTTGACAAAATTTTAAGCGAACAAATATTCTTACATAATAATATGTGTATTAACACATACACACATACACATCCACATACACACATACATGTACACACGTGTACATACACACACAAACATACATGCACATAACTGCCAGAGGTGTTAATAAATGAACGGATATAAACGTCTGAAGATGCGGACAGAAAGATATAAGCAAGCAGTCATAAATTTCAAATGAAAAGTATGTGAGTGTGTATGTCAGTCTGTCTATATGTATATGTGTATGTATGTGTGTATGTGTGTGTGTGTGTGTATGTGTGTGTGTGTGTGTATGTGTGTGTGTGTGTGTGTGTGTGTGTGTATGTGTGTGTGTGTGTGTGTTTGTGTGTGTGTGTGTGTGTGTGTGTGTAATATGACTAAAGATTAAGTTTTTTTATTTTATTTTAATTTTATCACTTTTCTTTCTTTCTTTTCCCTTTTGTCATTTTTTTCTTCCATTACTTCTCTTTTGTAATTCGTACTTTATCTTTTTCATTCTAACTTCTCTCCCTCTCTCTTTCTTTCGTTTGTCCATGTTTTTTATTTGTTATGAATTTTAATCATTTTAAAAACGTTCTATAGATGAGTGATTGAAAATTTCACATTTTAATGATTAAATGTGAAAGAATAACTATGCAATTTATTGATTGATAAAATTGATTGATTATATTCGTTCTATTATGATGTGTGATAGTTAAGAAGTTTACAATTTCACGCTAGCAGCATTCTATGAGAATATTTAGCATCGTCAGAGGAGATGGAATAGATGAGGGAAGACTTAAATGAATTGTAGATGAATAAATAAAACGATCAATTTGATTCAAATTTAAATTCAGTTAAGTTCAAATTTGATTTAATTTAACAGCTTTTTTCTTTTTGATTTTTAGCCATCTCAGAGAATTTATTTAATTTAAGAAAAAAACAAAATAAATAGTGGGAAGATCGAATAAACGAGTAAGGCGATCAATTCAATTCAATTCATTTCAATTCAGTTCCATTCTTTTCAATTCTACATTTTTTTTTTTTGATCTTTAGCCATCGCAGAGAGTATTCGGCTTAAGAAGAACAAAAACACTAAATAGATGGATTGATCAGTCCAATTCTAATTCATTTCGTTTAGAAATTCTTTTTTTTGATGTTTAACCATCTTAGAGAATATTCGTCTTTAGGGAAAATGAACTGAATGAAACAACGAAAGTTAAATTCAATAGATGAGAATATTAATCATTTTTTTTTTTTAAAAAAAGTTCCATTTTTTTAAAATAATTCAACTATCGTTCATTTATAATAAAATTTATGAAAAAGGAAAAAAAAAAGAAAAAGCGGAAGCGCTGAAATAATTAGTTCTTATAATATTTAATAATTAGGGAATAAATTCAAAAAAAGATGTATATTTTATAGTTTCTTTTTTGATTTCTTTCTTTTTATTATATTACAACAAAAAAAAAAAAAAGAAAAGAAAAAGAAAACGAAGAATAGAAAGAAAAAATAAATAAACGAAAGTAGAAATTTTGAAAAGTATTATTTCAAATTATATTAAAAAGGCGGAGAATAATTGAAAAAAGAAAAAATAATAATAGTAAATTGTAAAAAAAAATAATAAATTTTTAACTGATTGAATTTGAATGAAATAAAAAAAGAAAAATAATAAATAAGGAAATGAGTAAATTAATGCAAATATATATACATACACAGTTGTTGATTTTGCCCATTTTTAAAAAAGTGGTACGAAAGTTTTTATCATTTAATATAAAGATGAAAAGTAAAGATATAAATAAATAAACAATTAAATAAATAGATGAACAAGCAAATAACAAAAAACGAAAATGAACAAAATTTGATAAGATTTGAAATGGAAAATTGTTTGTTTTAATTTTTTAACGTTATTTTCCTCAATAAATAATTATTAAAAATGTAAGCTAATGTGATACCATATAAAATTAACCAAACAATATTTGTTAACAATTTAATTTTTTATTAATGCAAGTGTATTTTTGATTTGAAGAATTACTCAAATGTTTTATGAAATATTTGTTTCGAAATGAAATGCAAAATAAATAAACAAATAAAAATTTGTTAATATTGATTTATTAGAGTAAAATAAGCGACTTTATGTATTAGTTATACTTTTTTCTTTTGTTTCCCTCCTTCTTTTCCTTTTTTGTCCCTTTCTTTCGTTTTTTCTTTTGCTGCAAAATTAAAATTTATTTTAAACATTTTTCAGCTTATGATATATTTTTATATTGTTAAAGAATAAAATATATTTCCTTTAACATAACTTTTAAAAAAAATTGTTTCAATTTTTTTTTGAAAAATAAAATTTTTAATATTTCAGAATATTACATACATTTTCGAAATCAACCATTCTAAAATTTTAAGAATTTAAGGTTTACTTAATTTTACAATCATTAATAATAAAAAAAGTACAAAAAATTGATTTTCCTACAAAAATTTCCTGAAAATTTTCTCCCAGAAATTTTTGCAACGATTTATTACTGTAAAAATTTTCTTCCTTTCCTTTTCTTATTATCATAAATATTTTGTTTAAGGTGATAAGCATTTGAGTGATAAATTCTCGCTACGCTTGAAATGCCACAAATAAGCAAAATGAGCTAAAAACAAAACAAAATTAGAAATGTTATTTATTTTTTGTTTATTTTTTTTTTTTCGCAAAAAAATAATTATTTCAAAAAAAACAAACAGCGATTTTAGCAAAAATAAAATTTGAAGAAAACTGCATGATTCTATATTATTTGAAATTACTATTGAAAATTAGCAAATGTCATTTACGAAAATTTTAAAAAACAAGTTAAATTTTCAAAAAAAAGAAATTTTCTTTAAATTGGTTTTTACTTTTTTTCTTCTCGATAATATTCACATAAATTTTTGATTTCTAATGAATTCATAAAAATATTATTTGCTGAAATGTTCTCATTGTCATAACACTTTTTCATGTCACGCATACGTAATGATCATTTGTACTGATAAAAGATTTGATATAATTTCAATTTAATTTAAAAACTCTCCCCTTCTACAAACCATCCTTAATATTAGTTGACAGCATATGAAAAATGGAAATTTATAAAATAAAGTTTTAGTTTTTAATTTTTTTCACTTCAATATTACTGATCAAAATTTTTAGCAAAAATATATAGATAAATGAATGCTTACCATTTTTTACTGATTTTAATCTGTTCAATAATTCCTTATTGTTTAATTGAAATGTAATCAAACACTGAACGTATTAATATGAAATTATTTAATCAATAATATTATTTAAATTATGTCAGTCACAGATACATTAATTATGAGAAAGGCACTAAACTTTCGTTTATACTTGATTAGTTCTTATTATGATTAATATCATAATTAGTTTTATGATCAATGTCATATGTTTATCATTATTCTCTTCATAATGTGTCTTATAAAAATTTTAACAAAACATAATAAGTGAGGAAATATATTGCATTAAAAACAAACTTCTAATTACCAATTATTTATCAGCTAGAATAGTTCAAAAAGCAATTTCTCATCTAAAATGACAATTATGAAAAAAAAAAAAAAAAAAGACTGACAAAGCAAAAATTTTCAAAATATGCTAAATGTTCATAAATGATTAATAAATTAAATTTTGTGAAAAAGAAAAGAAAAATAAAAATGACAGAACTCTTGTTATTCTATCATAATTTCATTGATGGATGTAAGCAAATTTTAACCTTTTATATTTGAGCTTATTGAATAACATTTTCCAATGTTAAAATTAAAAAAAGTAATTTTAAAATTAAACTTTAGAATTAAAAATGTTCTCAGCGAAATTCCTTTATTTGTATTTAAATTTGAGTAATTTTTTTTAAATTAATAGATATTTAATTAACACGTTAATATAAAGTTAACCATTAACTGATAAAAGTGAAATAACATCAAAAATCAATTATTTTTTATCTTTTATATGAGATAATATTTGTTTTTATATGCAATATTATGTATATGTGAAGCAAAATTATTTTTTAGGCACAGCTCGAAAAAAAAAAAAGAAAAAAATAGAAAAGAAAAGAAAAATAAAGGAAAATAAATCAAAATTAAAATTAAAAAATTACAATAAACAGTAACACTTCAAACAATAATAAAAATTTGACTGAAATTGAACAAAACACTTAAAAAATTAAAAAAAAAAAAATGATATATCCATTTCAAATACAAAATATATGTTTTATGCGATAGAATAATGTGAAACTAATACAAAACTAAGAGAAATTATAATTAATGAAATTTGAAAGCTGAGTTGTTAGGCTTATTAAAATATTAATGTCAAAGTAGATCTAAAAATTTATTTCCGGTATATTAAGCCTAAAACCGGAATACACTTTATTACATGTATTCGATGATTAGGCACTTTAAATAATGCGATTAAATGATATAATTTCATTTCTAAATATTTATTAAAAAATTTCAAAACATAACTGACTGAGAAAAAAACTGAAGCATTAAATGAAAAAACAGTTAATTAACAGTTTTGTTCCTATTTAATTAATAAATTTTTAAAGGAATGTTTCATTAATTACTAATTTACAAAATTAAAACCTTTTCAAACCCTTCCAAAAATAATTTAGAATAATTCAAACTGTAAAAATTTTATGCAGATATTTTGCTGCCACGAAATTAAATAGAAACGATTAATTAAATAAAAGAGGAAATTGAAGAAAATAAATTTTTCTTTAAAATTTCAACAATATATTTAGCAAAAGTAAATGAAGAAATTGCCTTTATTGCTTATTCAGCAATTTTGCAAAAAAATTGCTGAATAATTTTTTAAATTTTTTTTAACGAGTGAAAAAGATTTTTGAATATAAAATGTTTAAGCAACAAATTTAGAAAATTAAAAATGAAAAGAAAAAAGGGAAGAAAATAAAGATAATTCAATGAAATTTTATGTGAATAAGAAAGTAAGAAGGAGAAAATCAATTGAAAAATTTAAATGTTCATACATTATTATTCATACATTAATAATGCTTTTTTAATGCTTTTTCTTCTTTCTTTATTTTAGGAAAAAATTGAAAGAAAATAATCAATTTTTTTCAACTAAAAATTGATTAAAAAATGCAATTTTTTTTCTTCAGAACTAATATCTAAATAATCGTCTCTCTCTCTCTCTCAAAAAGGGAAAAAAATTAAGATTTATTTAAATTTGTAAATTTTACAAAATCTTATGATTCAAAAGTATCAATGCAAAATAAAAACTAATTTATAATCCTAAATGATTAAACAAACTATAGCAGGTGAATAGTATTTAATTTTTACAATTAAAGTAATTCATTTTTAAACTATACGAAACTAAAGTTAACAAATTACATTAGCAAACATTTTGTGATGACGTTTTTGTTTATATAAGAAATGAAGTATTAATTTAATGCCTAATTGATCCAATTAAGTATTTACTGCAGAAATTCATATGTCATACCATATTGCAACAAAATTGTCATTTATCAATTATATTACAATAGAACAAATAGATTTTCCCGAAGAATTTCAAGCAAAAAACATTAAATTTCTATTTAATCGGTTAATTTATTATCCAATAAATAAATTTTATACAAACTCATTTCAATCAATTGATTTCCTTTCTTTTTTTTTGAATTATTTCAGCAGAACTAGGCTCATAATAACTTATGCTAGCATATCATATAAGTGAATTAAACTGTAATCTTGTTTGCTATAGTTTTAGAATTGTGAAATTTAATTTTATAATTTCTTAAAATTAACTCTTTTTTCCATTTACAATGAATTTATCTCATAAAATGGCAAATGGAATAACTTGCAAAGAAATTTGAGTTTTAAACAGAAAAAAGAAAAATAAAGAAAGAGGTGAAAGAAAAAATTTTTGAAAAGAGCATAGAAATTTAGTATGAGAATTGACTGTGTAATTAAACTAAAGAAGAAAAAGGAAAACAAAGCTAAAAAATAAAATAAAATAAAAAGAATGGAAGATGATGGAAAAGAGAAAAAAAGAGAAATGGATAGAATGAATGAATGAATGATATGAAATGAGGAAGAGAATAGAAAATGAAATGAAAAGAATTGAATTTAAAAGAAAACTAAAAAACATTATTTCTTCCTATATCATCATTCTTTTTCGCTATCTTCTACATGAATGACGATGCAAAATGAGGAACAGAATATGAAATAAAATGAAATAATTTGAAATGAATTGAATTCAAAAGATAAATAATAAATATAATTTCTTCCTATTCTTCATTCATTTTTCATCGTCTTCCCCACAATCTTCCCTTATTCTTTCCTTCTTTCGGTTTTCTTCGATAACTTACTAAGCCTAAAATTGATGATAGCACTTTGAAATTTAATTATTGATGATAGCCAGTAAATGAGTCTAAATAAAATTGGTTTGATCGTCCAATAAGAATTTTTCGAAGTGTACGTCTGAAGCTTGCACCAAAGAATAAATAGCAAAAGAAATTGCCGGTACAATTGATAACTACCAGTAAATTAGACATGTCAACCAAATATACCAATAAATGATAAGCCTAAAATAGCTTTTTTTCCTTTTCACTAATTTTTTTTAGGGCGTTGAAAAAAAGAAAAAAATAAACTTGAGAATAAAAAATTAACTAATTTTATTTTAAGAAAAATTAATTTGAAAAAATAAGCAGTCACACCACTTTTCCAAAAAAAAGTGAGGACAAAAAATGCTAATTCCGCTTTTATTAAAAATTAAATTGTTAAAAAAAAATTTTTTTCTTCAATTCTTTTTTACCGCTTTTTTTTTTCATTATTTTACTTGCTAAAAAAATTATATAATGCTTGAGAATAAAATCTTTTGACTAGATTTTAATAAATAGTGGACTTAAATACTGAAATTATTGACAATACACAAACACTTAATATATCAAACTGATAAAATTATTAAATTATTGATTAAATTCTGATTGTCCTTCTTTTTTCTAAAAAAAAATAGAAGGAAAAAACTATAACATTGAATAAATTTGAATACCTTTTCAGCAAAGACCATTTCAATAAAATTAACCAAAAGAGCAGCTGAATTGCAAAAGATGAACATAAAAACGACCAATATAAGACTAATCGTATCGGAATCATCTGGAATTAATTAATTAATAATATATTTTTTATTCATTTATTAAAACATGGAAAATAATATCTGCAAATATAAAATGATATAATTAAATTAATTAATTGCTGCAAAAAAATTTTAATTTATAAATAGAAAAGCAATGCTTATTATAGTAAAGTTATATATCAAAGTGATAATTTCTAGTTTATTTTTGCTTTTTTAAATTATTGCAACGTTATTGTCTAATAATGATAAATGCTTATTTTCTACAAACTATTATTAATGATATATTATCTAAGTTAAAAATGTTTTATGTTTTTCTTTCGTTTATTTAAAAAAAAAAAAAAAAAAAAAAAAAACGATGAAAGATAATAGAATGAGTAAAATTTCTGAAATTTAAAAATTTTTCTACCTGAAGTACCATTTTTGAGTACAGCTCGAACAACTAATACATTAAGAATAACAATAAGTAGAAGTGGTCCAACAGCCATAAATATTGTGTACATATAGGTATAGTATAATTGATAATATGATGCATTATTTCGAAGCTCTTCAAATTAAATTTCACAAATTTTAAAAAAGCCAAATTTAAATTTTGTAAAATTTAAAAAACTTTCAAAAAGAGCTACAATTGTGCATTTTTTTAGCCTTTTTCGTTGAAAAACTTGCAATTATTTATGAAAAAAAAAAAAAAATTTCAATACAACAAATTTTATTTACACTTAAAATGATGAAATTTTTGATATGCTTTAAATAAATAAGAAATATAATATTTTTTAAAAATTATCTACCTGTATCAATAAATTTTTAAATACTGTAACTAGTAATTATTGTAATTAAATATGTATTGTCATCATACCAGTAGGACAAACTTGCACTGATAAAGTATTGTTTCTTATTTCATCAATGCAATCAATTGTTCTTAATTCAAAAAAATGTGGCACATTATACAGTAATGATATGATTGCAATTGATAACACTGATAAGCGTGCAAATCTGTAAAATTCTATCAATTTATCATTCTTACCATAATTAACAATAACATAAACATGCATAGAATGATTACTTAATCTTTTTTATTAATTTATATCTTAATGCAAAAGAAAAATTAATGATGTTTGCACTGAAATGTTAATAACATTGGTGTGTTAGTACCACTGTTTTCTTAATCAAAATTTTATCAAATCTTTTATTAAGATTCTATCAAATTTTTTATTTGATTTCTTATTATTGTTATTCAATTTTTTTTTCTATTAAAATATTATCAATGTTATCAAATGAAAAATTTTTTTTATTAGTATTTCTTTCCATTTTAGAATTTTCAACTTTTCTTTTTACTACTTATTAAAAATTTGGTCGTTTTTTTTATTTTTTTTAATTTTCCTTATAAGTGATAATGCTTCTGTTTTTTTTCTTTTTTTGTTTTTTATTAAATTAGAACGAAATGTTCAACCGCATTTTGCTTTTCCATCAATTTTGTCAATTTTTTTAAAAGCCAATTTAATTGATTGATAAATAATTGAATTTTAAGAAATAAACAAATATAAGCAAATGCATTTGCTTATTTCATTGATACGAATATGACACTTTAAAAATTTGCTTGGTAGTTAGGGGAAATTAATAACTTTTTGTCAGTTATTTTCCATTAAAAATAATTTGAAAAGAATTGAATTGAAAAAATCATTATGAAATCAAATTAGAATTAAGGAATTTAAAAGATTTTGAAATAAATGAAAAAATTTGTGCAGATTTAATTTTTTCTGTGAAAAAAAGCAAAAAAAGTGAAATGAAAAATAAAATATTTGTAAAAATTACTAAGATTTGTTTAAGATATTTTTGGCAAAACTTTCGCAATTTTTCGTTTTTGCATTGTGATGAAAAACTAATATCTGAGAGAATTTTACTTTTACATAAATTGCAAAATTAAAGAGGAAAAAAAGAGTTGGAAAGAAAAGAGAATAAAAGAGAGTGAGAGAAAAAAGGGATTAGAAAAGAATGTAATAAATACAATTTGAATAATATAATTTTTGTGAAAATTAAATTTAACGCTATTTCGATGCTTTTAGGGTACATGAATAATAGCATTTGATATCAAAATTGGTTCTTCCTCTAAAAATCAACATAAGTAATAGCTTTAAGCAAAATTTTGAGACAAAAAAAGGTTTTTTGTTTATAAATCATTGGTTTAAATCAATTTAAATAGGTGAGCTAAATGTGGTTTTTATTAAATTTTAATTAATTAATCAACATACATGAGCTTCTTATTAACATATCTTTGCACTCTAATTCATCAGGTGTTAAACATGTACTTTTTGTATATATGAATTTTTTTTAATATCTTTAAAAAAAAGAAACTAGTGGAGTTTATCTATCAATTCTAATTTTTTCATGTTTTCTAAATCTTGCCCTTCAAATATATGATAAATTAGATAAATTTTTATTTTTACAACTGTTTAAATTGATTAAAATTTGAGTTTTTGCTTTGAAGAATTGATAAATTTTTTTGTCAGCACTTTGTTTTTTTACCCAATTTTTTTTTAAAAAAAATTAATGGATATTAATTTTAATTTTTACATCGTCTGAATTTTATTTTAAATAATGCAATGCAATAATTGAGTAGTTACTGGTTTTTATCAAAAAAATTTTGGTCTTCAAATAAAACAAAAAGAAAAAAATAAAATTAACGAATTCTTTTTTAAACTATAATTTATCAAAAAGCAAACTAAAATACTTGAAGGTTAAGGTTTTGAAAGATAAAATAAAAAAAATTTAAGGTAAGTTCTAGCTTTTAATATTTTATTTAAAATTTTCAACTCATTCATTTAGATCGTAAAATATTATTATGGCAATAAAAGATTTAAAACAAATGAAAAAAAAAAAAAAAAAAGAAAATATTTAATCCAAAAATAAAAGAATACTTATCTAATGATTTAGGTGCAATTTTAAACTAACTGAGCAATGATTATTAAAAAAACTTTGACAGTAATTCCTTAAACTTCGATATATACGCTAATATATTCACCTTGGCGTACAAATTTTATCTTTAATTTGTGCTGATAAAACAATTCGAACAAAAAAATCAGCCGCTGCAGCAACACAAAAATAAACGGAAGTAGTTTGTAGGATAGTACTGATCGGGAAAACAAATTCTGCGCTTTTACCGTAAACAGTTGCCAAAGCTGTAAATAGTAATTGCTCTTATTATAATAATTATTCATTTTTAAATTTTAATTAAAAATTTTTAAATGCAAAGTTTTAATGGTTTATTCAAAATTTTCTATGCAATAGAATAATCTGAAAAAGCACAAAATGACAATAAATAAGGAAAAATTTATAATTAAAAAAAAAAACAGTTAAAAATAAAACATTTTCTTTTCATTTACGTTTAATCAATTAATAAATTGATCAAATGTAATAATTAAAATTTTTGTTTAAAAAATAATTTTTAAATATTATTAATTACTGATTGTATTGATTTTTACGATATTTAATATTTAAAAATCAATTTTATATTAATTTACTTTTAATTTTATATTAATCTATTTATATTAAAGTTTATATATGAGTATAAAATTTAATTTTATTCAAATTATCAATTATTTATTAATACATGCATATATTGATATACCTGAAATCGTTTACCTGTTGGTCCATGATGTCTCCATGCTTCTAAACCATATAGAATGATTGCTGTGCATATCATACAAAAATCACTCAATGCTAAAGCAGCTAAATAAATATTTGTTGAATACCTTCGTTGCTCGATACTTCCATAAACAACCATAACTAGAACATTTCCAACAATTCCAATTAAACCAATTATTGGTAATATTATACCTGATACCACCATATTGTATTTCTGCAAAATTAAAATCTTTTTCATTAGCTTCAAATTTGTTTTCTTTTTGTTTGTTTGTTTGTTTTTTTTTTAAGACAAAAAAGCAAACAAACGATCTAAAGTTAAAACAAGGAAAGGAAAAATTTATTTATTCATCTTTTTTTCTTTTTTGTCCTACACTCTGTATAGGAAATATATTAATAATAGAGAATAATTAGCACTAAATGATATTTAAAAAATTAAGTTGAATTTATTTTTGCTAAATTAATAGAAATTTTTACAACAGAAAAAATTTTTTTTAAACTAGCAAAAAAAAAAAATATAGTGGAATTTAATTTAAGTAAAAATGTAAGAAGCTAATCGAAATTAAAATAATAAATTAAGAAATAAACTTCTAAATACTAAGAGAAAAAATAAATTTTTTAGTAATATCTAAAAAGAAACGAATCGAATAGCATTAATTAATCAATTAAATCAATATAATATTAAACTTACGATATACCGTGAATCAGATGAACTCAAGCAAATACTACAGAATGGTAGTTGCTCATCATTGCTTTCCATAACTTCCTAATATATTTACACCTGTCACTGATAGATCGCATATAAAAATTAACAATTTAAAATAAAAAAATTAAAGGCAGAAACAAAAACAAAAAAAAATAAAATTTTATATTTTTAATTGAATTTGGTTGAGATTTCAAATTTAATTAATAGATTGCTAAATTCTAATCAAATAAATTAATTGAGCATACATTGGACAACATATTCAAAGAAAAAAAAAATTAGCTTAATATTACAATGATTAATATGATAAACAATTATGTTACACAATAATTAGTCTTATCATGAAAGCAAAATGAAAAAGTTGACCAATAGCTTATATGCTTTAATATACGCTTGCTTAAATTTTAAGTTGACATATTTAGTGAACGATTTTTTTGAAATTAATATTAACCATTTTTATAATTATTATATTCTTATATATACAGAAATGTTAAAGTTTCAGTGAATGTTTCTAATATATAGCTAGATATCAGTTATCAATAATCACTTAATTAACCTATTTCAATAGGTTTCGATAGTTATTTAATGTCAAATAGTTAAATATTTCAGTAGTTATTTAATGATTAGCTTAATAATCAATTCGCTTATGCTACTATGGAAAAAATAACGGTCGTATATTTTGGAATTGTTGAATTTTTTAAGAAATGAATAAAAATAAGTTATCAAATGTATGCATTAAGAAACAACGCTTGCTTGTCCATACTTATTGAATTATCATAGCAATTACTAAATTTTCAAATAACAAATAATTATAATTTATAATATTAACGAGTAATTACTACTAAGTAACAACTAATAACAATAGTGAATGTAATAATGATAATAATAACGATAATAATAATGAAATAACAATAACAATGATGGAATAATTATTATTATTATGATAATTGAAATGGCAATAATGAATTTATATGAAATAATATTAATATATAATAAGGATAACAATATTAATGCAATGATTACAAACATTATTCCTTTAATATAATTGAAGTAGTAATAATAAATTAGATTACAATAATAATAATTATTACTATAACACTAACTACGATTTATTAGCAATAATAATAATAATAATATAGTTATGTAGAAATATGCTGAAATGATGACGATATTTTTGTACAACAGAAGTATTTTGGAAGAACTAAAGTAATTCTTAATAATTGAAATAACTGTTTAATGTAAAACATATTCAGTAATTAATTATTTGAAACATAATGAAAATAATTTTTATTCATCTCTGAACATTCAATGTTAATAATGAAATTTACTTGTGAATTACTTTTGCTTGTAAATTTTGGAAATTTGTAAGTTGTTTTTGCAAATATCTTAAAATGTTGTAAACAATCTTACACGATATCCCATATTATTATCATTGTTATTGCTGATCATTCTCTTCTCTCTTTCTCTCCCTCTCTCTATCCCTTTTGCAATTTCTCTCAAATAAATCTTTACTAAAATGATAACTTTAATCAATTTCTACTGATTTAATCAATTAATATAGAAGAATGAATCATTTTTGTAGTTCACTTCAATCCTATTTGCTTTATGATAATTACTTCATCAGAACTTTCTAATAATCTGATAAGTTCATGATATTCTCACAACTATCTAGATGTACTTTTATCATAAATTAACCAATTTACACAGAAAAAACTTTACTATTAAACCAAACGGAAGAAAAAAATTAAATTTAAACAAGAGTTGAAACTTTATGAAATTGTCAATTCTAAATTTCAAGCAGCACAAATCAAATACTGAAAAAAAATTTTTTTGAATAATAAAAATTTACTTCGATGCAATTTAAAATTGAAAACAACAATAGAATTAAATTATTAGTTATGCAGCGAAATACCTATTGAATGAAACTTTCCAGCAAACTTAATAATTTAAAATTGATATTAGAATATTCCTTTTTTGTTGTTGAATAATTAAGTGGATTTTTTTTAGCTCTTACTGAAAATGAAGAAAAAAACACTTAAAAATTATTTGAACAAAATATTTTTTCTGACAACAAAACGACTATTCATTTTATAATTTGACAAATTTAATTCAAAAAATGTAATAAATAGAAAATAATTTATAAAAAATCATTTATAACTGTCTTATAATGACTTTTGTCGCATAAAAAATAGAAATTCTTCATTCATTTCGATGAAGCATTTAAAGATAATAATTAATTTAGTTCTCATTGATAAGGTATTAATTGAAAAAATTTTTTTTCATTGTAAAAAATAAATCTTTGATAAAATTTTCTATTTTTTCCACATTGCAATAAAAGAATGAGAAATGGTTAAATTAATGAATGATATTAATTGGATGAAATATAATTCAAACTAAGTTATCACAATCAATTTTATTAAATTGCTAAATAAAAATTAAAATAAAACATTTGCGATATAAAAAAAAAATTGAAAATTAAAAAATTTTAGAATTCAAAATTTGACACAGCAAATTCATACTAAAAAAAAAGAAAACTATAATTACTAGTTATTATTTATCATAATGGTTTTCTGAATAATTAAAATTAAAAATAGAAAAACTAATGGAATTGTTGGCTTAAATAAAACATTTTTCAAATCCAAATCATCACTTTTTGTAAAGCTTTAAAACAAATGTGTCATACCATAAAAATTTTTATTTATTTTTTTTAAATTATTACAAAACTTATATTTTTAAAAAATTTTTATTATAAAAATTTTATTGCTTAGTGAAAAATTTATTTCCAACTAAATTAACAAAAATTGATAAAAATTTCTTCGTCCTTTCCTCTTTTTTTCTATAAGACAATAAATCTTCATGTTGAGAAATTTTGGGTAAATTATGGGAATTTTTCAAGAAAATTATTTCATTAATTAAATTTTTTGAAAAAATTATAACACATTATGCAGGAATCTTCTAAATAAAAATGCAAATGTTTAAAGTTGCATAGAATAAATATTGCTGTAAAAAGTATACAGTTTTACAATATTGAAACTGAAATTTCAAATTAAAATAAAAGAGAAGCATATATTTTTGCAATATCGTTCGGTTTACTTAACTGAAAAGTTAAATTGGTTTAGTAGTGATATTTTAGACGATGGTCGAAAATGAGGATCCACCCATCCTTTTGAATTCACTTTTCCATTTGCACTCCTTTCTTTTCATGTATGCGCATTAATACAACTTTTTCAACAAGCCCATCCCTTTTTCGTCTTTTTTTTTAAACAAATATTTTTGTTTGATTACTGTATTAAATGAAAATAGCATATAATGTTAAAACATAAATATTATTAATTGGTATTAATTTTAAAACTGTTCAATTAATGTTCAACTAAAAAATTTTTTCTTTGCCAATCATTTTTGTTTTTATCAATGCATTATGTATTATTAATAAAATACGCAAAATAAATAAATAATGATTCTTAACTCATTTTTATTTTTACGCCGCTTTTTTTTATTGATTGAAAGGAAAAAGAGAAATAGAAAAATGATGGATTGAAAATAATTTCTTCCTCGGAATTCTTTAAATTTTCTTTTGATTGACTTCTCACTTTCATAAATTTGCATGTTTATCACAATTGTATATTTTCCCAAGAGATACAACGACAAACATAGTAACAAATCCTTTTTTTTCTTCTCTCCAACATATGCGAAAATATAAGCAATAATTTGCTTCAAAACATTATCTATCATTTTTCTAACCATTGCTCACAAACATCTGTCATCGGTCGTTAAGAAAAATTAAACGTTTTATTGTTATAATAATATTTTTCTTAAAAAAATCCTTATTATTTTTTTCGTTGAAAAAAAAGATTTATTCATCAATGTAATTAAATGAGGTTTAATAAATTTTTTTTATTATTTTAGAATATTATTATTTCAACACGAAATTTTTTCATTTTTTTAAATAAATGAGTTTTTTTCTTTTCTTGCTTTTATTATCAAATCACTAAAAATTTAAATAATACAAAGATGAGATTTTTGTCAAAACCAAAAAAAAAAAAAAAAATATGTTGAAGACAGCAAATACAACATTAAATGTATTTAAAAATATTTTAAATAATTGTGTGCAAAAATATTGAACAATATATCAATGAATTCTTAAAATGTAAATATTTAAGATGGAAATAATTCCATTTAATTTAAATGGATGAATTAAGAGAAGAAGTTTAAAATTTTACTTGTAATTCTATCAAATCATTAATATCAAAAAACAAAAAAAAAAAAATAAAAAGTAAAAGAAAAATTAATCGAATGTCTTTGATTTATATGTTTTAAACAAACAAATAGGTCGAAAACTAATTAAAATTTTCATTTTTTAGGAATGATTTAATACTTGAAATATGATTTGAACAGCAATGATATTACAATTATTTTTTCAATTTCGTATTCATATGAACTGTGCAAGAATTTTACAGCTGTGAAGAAAAATAAGAAAAGTAATGGTCATTAAGAAGTTAATTGTTTGAAGAATTATTTGCATCTAAGTTACATTTAATTGTTTCAGTGACATTAGTGGGAATACAGCATTGATTAGATAATTACGGCAATTTATCTCAAATGTTTGATAAATTCTTAACTATTGCAAAGGATTTATTGAATGTCGAAATTTATTGAAATCTTTTCTTGACGCATTTGTGAAGCAAAAATCAATTTAAATGTTATTTTCTTCCAGTATATATACTAACACTTAAGTATTTTTTGTTAATTATAACCTAAAAATAATGAACAACCAAAATTAAAATCAAGATTGTGCATCGAAAATAAAAAACTTTGATAAAATTCAAAAGAGAAAAAAAACGGAAAAAAGTTCTAAGCACTCAATGGCAAACGTTCAATTGGTACTTGAATTGCTTGGAAGATACTTGGGATTTTAAAAAATCCCTTATCTTCCGTTTAAATTTCAAATAAACATTACTAACCACAAATCATCGGTGCAGCATGTTTGTGTGTTTTTTATTATTTATTACACTATTCAAGAAATAAACTAAATTTTTAACTTATTAAAATGTGCATTG